AATGTGGTTGACTTTTAGAATATAATTATTATAAATTGGGCATGATACTGCATGCCTATAATTCCAACACTTGGGAGATTGAGGCGGGAGAATTACCGCATGGTTGAGGCCAGCTTATATAAAGTAGCATGGCATTGAACAAAATCTTCAGTTAAACTAATTTTATACATATTTTTATTACAGATTTTTGTTATGTACAAAATTTGCTTTTTAACCATTTGTGAATTTCTAATTTTAGTTTTCATTGTATGTTTTAATGAAAAGGACAAGTCTATCAAAAGGAAAGCTGAGGGGCTAGGGATATAGCTCAGTGGTACAAGCACCTGCCTGGCAAGTGCAAGGTCCTGAGTTCGATTCCTGGTACAAACGAATTTTTTTTTAAAAAGGGGAGGTAAGAAAGCTGGACAACTGCCTGGTACATGTATGGGAAGTGGCAAATCATGGTTTTTACCCTAGCTATTGGGCATGCTTGGTGTCTAGAAGGACAGCACTGGATTGTATCAGTTTGGTTATCAATATGCCTGGACTAAAAAGGACAGCCCAGGTGGGAAACAGAGCCAAAAGAGAGCCCAAACACATCCCACTTAACCCATCTCCCTTGTCAGCCGCCTGATGAGCATAAGGAATGATGACAACAGGGCCATTTCTCGTGGCATAGGTGAGCAATGTCACTACAGCAGGCTAGTCACATGAAAGTGTACCTGGGTGAGGTGAAACCAGAAAGACCTCCTCTAGGCACTGGACAACTATAGGGATGTTGTAGTTTTAAGGTTGAAAAATGGTTTTTAGGTTGTTTAGTTGTATCTTGTAGCAGTTTTAATAAGTAAACCTATTTAGGTTTTACCCCAATAAAAAATTGTTGATAAACTATGCTAGCCCCTGGGCTGATACCAACATAGGGCAGTGTATTTCATTTTCTGAGGTCCCCTTTTTGTTTCATCCTAAAGAAATAAAATGCCTTGAAGGAGCAGTCTGCTTACCAGAAAATGACTGGTTACTCCACAAAACTGAGCTCTTGCAAGACACAAAGTATGGATGATATAAAAAATTCTCAAGGTTATCAATTATCTCATGGCAATAACATATTCTGAAATTAGGTCTTGTATTTTTCAGTGGAAGCTTTAAACATAAAACATAAAACTTGCTCTTTGGCTAAAAGTGTATTTTGAGAGTAACCCTAAATTTCACCTACTTTGTTTGCAACATAGTTCTTACCTATTAATTACCAATTTGGCATAGGCAAGCTACAGAATAAACTAAAATGTATAACCAGCACTGTGCAGTGTTGTTATATAAGCAGTTGCTGTTTGTCTGACAGCAGGATGAGTCTTACCATCAATTTAAAAAAGAAAAAGATAACCTTTAGGATCATACCTACATGTGTTGTATTCACACAATATTTTTCCCCCTTTTTGGAGGATACCTATAGAATTTAGATAGTGGACACCAAAATGTAATCCTTTCTGGGAACAAAAGAGACCAATTTAAATCCAAATCAATCAAAAATAAGTCTCATAATAACATGGTAAACAACTCAAATGGCTTTTTTTAATGCTAGGAAAATTGTCCACCTTTCAATGGCGACCATACTGTTAACACAGGTAGAGAGCAAACAAGGTAAAAAGTGAAAGCACATACAGATGCACACGATTATATATAAAAACAGACCAGAAATCACAGGACATGTAAGCACTGTTTTCTTAAGCAGAGCTATTTTTTTAATACTTTAAATAGACTAAAATATTTGGTGTGGGTGGGGGAAGGAAATCAGTATTTCACAATTTTAAATTGAAAATCAGCTGTAATGAAGCCCCAGTTGTTTAAAAAAAAAAAAAAAAAAAAAAGCCAAAGGAGAAAAAAAAGAACCACATTTTTCTGAAAGTCACAGGAGAAAAGCTTGCACAGAAGACATTTAACATCTCCATCACAGTGCACAGAGGATGCAGCCACTGAGGACTGCAAGAGGGAACAAGAACAGAGTGCACATCCATCACGTTGCATTACAAAGCTGATGCTGTCTTAGGAAAGCCTCAGCTCAAGTGCTTGGTGTTCTAGCTGGAGAGCACCTTAGGAGGAGGAGGAAGAAGAGGAGGAGGAAGAGAAGGAGGAGGAAGAGAAGGAGAAGGAAGAGGAGGAGGAGGAGGAGGAGGACATAAGACTTGAGAGCAAATACAGTAGTTCAATCTACATCAGAATGCCCAATTCCTTCACCTGTTATTGGCTGGTGCATTTAATAATCTCAATATAACATTCACCAAAGGAAATACAACTCCATATTCTGGCTTCTTGAGCAGAACAGAGAAATGTAATAAAGGCCAGAGCATCAAAGGCCATATTTTTCAAGAGAAAAAAAAAAATCCACAACCACAATTTTTATTTACTGTGAAAAATTTACATTTCACATTAAATTTAACCATATTTAAGGACACATGTACTTACATATACACAGATCCTAAGAACGTATCTATTTAGTTGCCTCTGTTCCGTTAAACCAGTTACCTTTCCTGGGTCACTAAGTGTTAGTCTCACCACCAGGTTGGTGTTTTTAGCTATCATTTGTTATAAGCCTCATGTTCCATTTGCAGTAATAGCTGATTGGAGGAAACGTATCCCACTATTGGAAAAGCTAACAGCCTTGAGGCAGCTGAACGCAAGAATAAGTGATGTCATAAAGTGAGAGTAAATCACAAGAACACCTATAGTGGTCAATCTCCTGCTGGGTGGACTTGCCTGCATATAGCATTGAGAGTCTTGCATCCAATAAACCTCACAATCCCAGGTTCTCCAGGGCAGCAGGTCTAAGGACACCACTCACCCATCCCTTGCATGCCAAAAGTTAACACTTTTCAAGAGCATAAGGTTACTTTTAAGGACATTAGCCTCTAAAATGTTTCTAGCCCACTTTTTAATGGCCAGTTCCTCCAAACCTGCTAAAACAATAGGTCCCAAAGTAGCATATTTAAAGGCATTAAGAATATTTGTAAGCAACCACACAAATTTAGTGAGCAATATATCAAAGTTCACTCTTGAAACGTTTTCAGACAAAACTTCCGAAGGTTCTTGTGGCTTTATTCAGTTGTATAGTATTTTACTATATGGTCCTGAGATTTTCACAGCAAATACATAAACCAGTTTTTGTATTTCTTTTCATATTCTTTTTTTAGGTGGAAACATTCAATGCCAGCTATTGCCCACATTCTTGCTTCATATATTGAAAGGACGACTGCCAACTGGAGATATTTACAAAGACCCAGAATTACATTACTTTTAATTGTGCTCCAACAGAAGGGCTAGCCTTGGGAAAATAACGGCAAAAATATTCTCAAATATGAACACCGTTATTTTGCCTACAATGATGTGATCTAATTCAATGACTGCAGAACTGCTTTCAATTTAACTGTACAGATTTACTTGTTTTACCCTCTTATATAAATGTTCAGTACCATAGCATCATTATCACTAATAAAAAGGTACAAATATGTGTGCCTTAAAAGTCAGGGTCATAAAAGCAAAAATGAAGCCTGAGATAAAGTGGTCTAAAAAATGCCCAATTTGGGTTCTGTATTTTGCCAAAAAATAGTATTTTAATTAAAAATTCATGTGTTACCTAATCGCTACATATATAATTATTTCTCCTGATTTAAATTAATTGTGTATATTAGTTATATAAACCAAGTGACTACATTCTTAAGGCAAGGCTAGATAGTCACCAGAAAAGGACCCTATCCTTTCTCACCACATTTCCTTTCAGCTTGAACAGTCCACAAATGTGAATACTGAAAGTGGCAAATATAATTTCTTAGGGACTTAATGAAAATTTCACTGCAAGAACAGGGACTTTAGCTAGACTTCTGTTCTTACAGAAAAATGCTAAGAACAAACTTTATGCTACAGCATTGTAAAGGGCAGAACTTAATATAGAACTAAAAATGTAGCAAGTTACCTAGTGACTAACGTTGTAAAGTAGCCAAGAACTTTGAAGCCACAGGGAAAAAGAAGTCAATTATAAAATGGGAAATATAGACTATTTAAGTATTTCTGTATTTCTAAACCTTTAATTTTGTGCTTAAAGCAATATATTATGTTTATTTTTTTATTTTTTGTCTTTTTGAGACAGGATCTCGCTATGCAGTTCAGGCTGACCTTGAGCTCACTTTGTAGTCCAGGATGGCCTTGAACTTGCAATGATCCTCCTGCCTCAGCCTCCTGAGTGCTGGGATTACAGGCATGCACCACCATGCCCGGCGAAAGCAATATATTATTCATTGTTTAATAAATTATCATTTTAATTAGAAAAGGAAGCAAATCCTTAATTCCCACCCCCCCCCAAAAAAAAACTGGAAGTTTTGGATGACAGTCTTTATTTTGTTGGAGGGTAGGAGAATGTCATTTTTCTTGAAAAATTTAAAAGGAAAATTGGAGAGTTCTCTGGGTGTAGTTAATCCTTCTCACCTAAAATACCAATGGCATTATTCTTCTAAGGGGTCCTTACATCTCAAGCATTATAATGAAATTTTGGGTCCACTATGGTCCTTATGGTACCAAGCCAACCAATACGGACTTTAAATTAAAGTGCTCTGGCTGTCCCCTGTAGGTCAGGGATGGCCCAAGGAACCTTGGAAAATCTATTTCCATTGAGCTCAACTAAGGGTCTTCACCTTGAGGCTATTGCCACATACAGGTAACTTTGATCTTTCCAGGAACCTGAAGCAGCAATCTTACTGGTGCAGGTAAGGGGGCAGAGAAAGAGACATAAGTGAAGCACAACCTAGTTATTTTTAAAAAGAGTTAACCCTAAGCTGGTACATTCCAGAGGCCACTGAACTGGATGTATAATAATTTAATGAAGGGGTATTATAGGCGAGCTTCATCTGATTTTAATGATTTCCACTTGTGATTCTTGTCATGCTGCCTAAAAATAGCATATTAACTGGTGCCAAATTAGGCCTCTGGGAGAATTTTGTAAAAATTACACTGATGGTCTATGAAAGGAAAATGTCTGCAAGCAAATTAAAAACTTTTTATTGAGATCTCAGATTTAAACAATAGATTCACCACTGTTAAAATGACACTGTTAGTTTGCTATGAGTATATATGTGTATTTAAACTTATACACATATATTACATACTATATTTCCTGCTAAAAAGTTTGAGGCAGTTCTGCTATATATAAAGTTAGCTATAGTATCAAAGATAAAACAGTTCCTAACTCAAGAAACTGCATGAACACATGAGACAAGTTCTTATCATAAAGGCTATCATGAGCCTATTATAGCTCACATTTCCTGGTTGTGAGGCTCAAAACACAGGAATTCTACTCTAAAAGAGAATTTCTCTCTCAATCACCACACATAAAAGGTAGTATGAACAAACAAAATATTCTGAAAATATGAAAAGGAACATAGAAATGGAACACAATAGCAGGATTCTAACTCCCTCTGGAGACCACACACCATTTTCATCCTGATTGTTCTGAATACAAAACCCAAATATGCCCCAAGACAAAACAGGGCTAGTATTATAGGGAAAACACTGGCTCCAACCGCCACAAAGCTCATAAGCTTAAATATAACTTAAATAGATCTGATAATTTGCTACTTGCCAGTCACAAAGACAATGAAATGCAGAGAATTTCAGAGACACTTGTAAGATTAAAGCAGCAAGCCAATCTGAACAATATCAACCTCCCTGGTAAAGAAATGAGGACTTGGGATATAGAAAGCACCTTCCTTTATGAGTAATAATAAAGTTCAAAGGAGACATATTGTGACGTATGCATATAAAGTATGGTTGACAGAGAAGGCAATCAGCAAGTACCACATGGATACATGTCAGCAAGAGAGGAAGAACAAAATTCAGTTGAGGAACACAAAGGTTTTAATGAAGCGCATGAAAGGAAAAAACAAGATAATTCCATTTGTTTAAATATGAATTCTTTAGTTAAAAAAGAGGAAAGAACTCAGTTGCTCATGTCCAAAGACTGAGTTATCTAAAGAGCTGGGGAGATGGCATGAAGAGAGGGCAAATGGAATATTCAGCTTTTAAAGCAAAGACTGCACATAAAGAGATTTTAAGTACAGAGAAGATTGTCTTTTATTATTTTATATCCCACCATAAACCCATCCCACGCTCAGACCAAGAGGGTGCCTAGTACCCAATAAATGCTCGAAGTGTTTAGTAATTTAAAGAAAGATAAGACTTTAAAGGTATATATGCGCAGTTTTTAGAAGAGGTAGAGAAACCAACTGGGTATATGCTTTTATTTGATTTTAACTAGCAAGAGACTAGAGTGCTTTTCATGTTCAAAGTCTTATCCTCGATGCAACTGACAACAAAGGCACAAGTAAAGGGAAATTAAAACAGTTTTAATAAAGAGGAAAACCTGACAAGCTGACAATCTTAAGACAGATGAATCAAACAAAACTACATGTGGTTTAAGGTAAAAAATATAACTAGATATTAAATAATCTGCAAAAATATACTTAGAACAGAGAGTAAGAGTACAGATTAGGATCTTCACCCTTTAAGAAAAATTAGATTTCCTTCTGGCAAAGTGACAGGTCCTGAGAGCAACAGTAACCCCCAGAGGACTAAGACCTATTTGAGGGCTTGGACCAAGCTTAGTCATCTTTTTATTACTCAACATCTATCACAGTGGCTAGGTAAACAGGCATCAGTAAGTGTTCACTGACTGAATGTATACAATAATGTATAGTCAGTACAACTGGTGTGGTTCAGACTTTTAGGAAAGCTTCTTTAAACAAAATGAAAAAAAAAAAAAAACAAAACACAATTTAGTGGCATTGTAAAAGATTGGCCTATATCCAGTTATATTTCTAAACCACTTATAAACACTTTCCAAAGCTTATTTAAAAAACAATCAATGAAATAATTCTTTCAAAAGAGATCTCACACACAGCTCCACTATAAAGTAAAATAACCTGCCACTGGTTGGGCCAAGATCAGTGGGAACTCCCACAGCCTCCACATCCGAAGCCTGCCATATGGTGTCACTGGAGCCACTGGAACCACTTAGACAGCAGCAAAGCCATCATGTTCTAAGGGCATTAAACTGAGAATACCAACAGTGTTGTGCAGGATAAGTTCTCAATAATGTTACTAATTTAAATAAAGATGAAATTCAACAGAGGAGATTTTATGGTTTGGAAAAAAAATCACCCCTTCAATGGAAAAATGTCAACAAAAATTAGGCAACAAAATACTAGACAAAATATAATGCAAAAGCCAGTATCTCAAAAACAAGTATGATCATTAAACATATTCACACAAACGTAATCATCACCATGATGAAATTAATTGCTCAAGAGGTACAACTGCTCAATACAACAAGTGTTTACTAAGAGTTTAGTCCTGGTTTCATACTGTACAGAAAAGTCCCACCTGAATTGTGGAGATGTGCTCCACTGTTGAAATGCCATTGTTGGCACTGCTTCATTTAACATGTAACTGCCAGGATCTTCTACTGCTTTCAAAGTTGTTCTTCGTCCCTGGGACTATTCCCCAGCATCAGTATACACTTTCTCAAGGATGTAGAAACTTCCACTAATGTACAGAGGCTCCACTGAATATCACCAGCAGGCCCCACCACGATAACACCTGGGACATTTACTCTAATCACAAGTTAGGCAGTAGAAGTAGTAATTAGTGGGCAGCAGGATGTCTGCAAACAAGCAGATCATTACATTGGTGAAAATTTGCACAAGCATGGGTAGTTATACCATATTAAGTGGTACTGACCTGGTGCAAATAAATTTTATAGCAAAGATTTGAGGAAGAAGATGTATTAGTGAGAATGACACACAGCAGTCTATCACAAAATAAGGCCACCTTCAACATGTTATAAACTGTAGAACCATTCTGATCTTCAAGTTTGGATTTGTGGAGAGGTTTCTGTATAAAGAAAGCATGACCACCTAATAGTTTCCTTTAAAATGTGCCTTTGCACTTGATGCTGTTCTCTTCATCAGGAGTGCTTTACCTCCCTCGGTTCTTCACATGGCTTGCTGCTTCCAGGTCAGGTGTGAGCTCGAGCATCACTTCCTTAGAGGCCTTCCTGATGATGTCCTATCTGAAGCATCTCATTTGTTATTCTCTAACACAGTACCCTGTTTATCTCCTTCACAGACGCATGGATGATTACGGGTAGAGTAACTGCTGTCTCAGCAGAGGCAGGAGCTGTAGCTGTCTTGTTCACCTTTACCCAAAGGTTAAGAAAGTTCCTGGCACATAACAGGTGAACAATAAATATCTGCTGAATGAATAAAAAATTACTATACCAAATTTACATGAACACATACATATACACACAAATAGGAAAATGGGGAGTATCCGATAAAAAACAACCCAATGCTGACAGTATCAAAAATGATACCTGTACATACAGGTGAATATGGTTTCAAAAAACAAGTACCAAAGGTTTCTATCTTCAAAACTATGAAAATTTACGAAAAGAGATCAAGAGTGGTTATTTTCCGTTTCTACTGAGATGCAAACAAGAAAGGTTTACACTGCAATCTGTCAACATCAGACATAATCATTATTTGCTGCAGAATGGATGACCAACAGAGCTCTAGAACTTTCTCTCACTGCAGATCATAAAATATGGTCAACAACATACCCAAGATTAGTTAAGAACAGCTCTGATATCTAATTGTAGGCTAAAAAAAAAAACCCAAAAAACAAAACCCACTAAACAGCTTCTCCCCCAATTTTTAAAATTCTGAACTGGTAACTATGTAAAATAACATTCAATTTATAAATTGAATACAACACACTTTAAAAACAGATGGCCCTTATCTGCTGATCATACCTCAGCATCTCTTTTCTAGGTATTTTGCAGAAGCAATTACATTTACAAAAGGTCCATTTCATAATACAATCTGGTAACTAAGTCAAATGAAGCTACTCAAAGGGCAGAAGGTCTGCTGCTGAAATATCTTAAAATACCTTTCAAAAAGGGTACTTATATTTATAGACTGGCTTTAAAAAAGGATAAATATACTGAATTCTAGCACATCCCTGAAAATAATTATACTGCCACTTGTGCATTCTTTATGAGGTGGAAGGTTAAATCAATAAACCAATAGGTTATACAAGTCAATTAGCATCTGCTGAAATCTGGTTGTAAGATAGGGGATTTACTCATTTACTGGACTCAGAATTAACTGGTGCCAGCAATATCAGTGCAATTACCAGCAATGATGTCACACTGCACTGTTTTAGTATCAGAACAAAAGGGGGATCAAGAAAAGAAGTTTGGAAAGGTTTTCAATATGGGTTTCTTATAATGAGATTTAGCAGTAAATAAACACAAAAAGAACGACTGTTAAGCCCCACTAAACACATTAAGGTCAGAAATTTCAAAAGTGAATCCACTTTGCTTCCCCTAAAAGTTTATTTTTGGTAAAAGGCAGAAAAAATTAGTTTTTCTACAAGGAAAATCTGCTTCTAAATGATAATTTGAAAATCTTAATATATATATATTATATATTAAAAAAGACAAAAATAACAGAAGTGAGAATAACAGATTAGGTACTGTAACTTTAGAAAGGCTTGTCTAGATCAAGAAGTAGCACGCACGCACGCGCGCACACACACACACACACACACACACACACACACTCTCTCATTTATGCAAACTAAAAATGTATGAACAGCACAATACTGCGATACTGGGTCATGATACATTACCTGTACACATAACTACTACTGTTATTAATAAACCTTTGGGACGTTCAGTCTTATGCCCAACAAGACACGGTTAAGTCTGTAAATCTTCTCTTTCCCCTTTATGGGAGGGCATTTCTAGACACTAATTTTCCCATCTAATATTCAAATATAGGAAGCAGATTCCACAAGGTGCTTTAATTGATGAGACCTCAAGTGCTGTTTTCTCTCTGGAATTTTTGGACAGCAAACAGTCCACGGGGACCATACACAAATACTATGACAGAAGAGTTGTTAAGTCTTTTGATGGAACTTGACTGGTGATGAAGTTTTATGACATGCTTGAGCAACGCACTGAAGGGGATCCCATCTGAGTTAATACTTTGTCCAACCATTGTAGAGGTCCATTCAGATGAAGTTCAATCCAGCAAGGAGTACTTGTTACTGTCTGCCTTCTGTGGGAAGAATTACCATAGTGAAATTAAAGGGAAAGATGGCTACAATCAGGTACATACATTGAGAACTTTTAAAAATGTAAAGGCTGTATATGTAAAAACTAATTTCTTTTGAATAACTATTAATTTTGGATATTCAACCATTATTTTGAAACATTCTTTTTCCCTTCAAATTAAAATTAGTATGGCATCTAGTTATTATTTACCATCACCTAAAATGGGACACCTTTGAGAGAGATTATAGAGATCATTAACAATCAAACTAAGAGGAGAAATATCAACTAGGAAAGACCGTCCCAAGCAAACTGTGACACACAGTCACCCCACTAAATCCACCAAAGAATAGCAGACATTTAAATATCAAGAGTCTACACAGAACAGGGTTCAAACTTTTGCTATTATTTTGCTTTCTGAGAGAAAGTTTTGCTATGTATTTTTCAGGCTGTCCTTGAACTATGTAGCCCTGTCTCAGCCTTCCCAGTGCTGGAATTAGTGACATGTGCCACTGTGCCCAGCTCAAATTTAAAGTATATCAAAACAACACAGAATTTCTACCCAAGGTAAATCCTTACCATATAATGTTAATCAGACTTTTGAGTTCAACTTTCCTCAACAGAACCAATGGACAACATTCCTTTTAGTATTGTTCAGGCTTTTGATATTTGGTTAATAAACCAAATACCCGCCACCCCACAAAAAAACCCACACACCTTTAGAACTTCAACAAAAAGGCTACTCCCTGGGAGTCACAAATTATTCAATTACAGCCAGTCACTCCCAGGCACGGATTTTAGTTCTGCCGTTATTTATTACAGAGTATAAGTCAAGAAATCTGTTTTTGCTTCTTCAACCTGATAGTCCTTCAAATATGAGAAAAGTTCACTGCCAACTCTTCATCTCCAAGCATGTACAGATCCAATTTAAAACTGCATTTCCAAGAATGTTATTTTTCTATAGCCAATGATGTCAGTGCCCACTATGCCACTCAAGAGTTTTAGTGTGTTCCAGCCAATTTCCAATTGCACATTTCTGTATCTCTATGCCTGAAAAACTCTCTAGTATGCATGCACATGTAGCAAACAAAAAGAGCCAGGAAATGAACATCAGTTCACTGTAGGTAACAGAAAGTGAAATGTGAGTTAAGAGGAGACTACTTGCTCCACTGGTCTTAATTTATTTGTACAGTTTATTTTTCTCTGCTTTCTATACTCCAAACTAAATTGCGAGCTATTGTCCAGATTGTAATTTCCCAGGCCATCCATCCCCATCTACTGAAATCCTATTGATCTTTTAGAAATTAGGTCAGTGGTGGTGTACCCATGGCATGCATGCCACAGCCAGCTTTTTGTTACCATTCCAAGTTCTAAAAGGTTAGCCATCACTGACCTAGATCATGTGACATCTCTTACCAGGAAGTTTCCCATGAACTGAGGTGCCAAATACACACTCTTTTATGATATTTAATGGTATTCTTTATATTAAAATGTACATCTGTGCATGTTTTAATTACTTTCTACAGCACAATAATTTGCAACTGTTTTAAGTCTAGAAGCCTACAACTTTCTTTTTTTTTTTTTTTTTTTGTCTTTTTGAAACAGGGTCTTGATATACACCTCAGGCTGGGCTTGAGCTCACTTTGTAGCCCAGGCTGGTCTCAAACTCGCAGCAATCCTCCTGCCTCAGCCTCCCAAGTGCTGGGATTTCAGGCATGTGCCACCATGCCCGACCTTATTTCATTATTTTACACAAAGATCTGCTGACTCCACAACTTCAAAGAAAACAGACATTAACGAACTCCAGAAGATACAAACGAATAGAGTTTTTTAAAAACTACATTGTAGAACTTTAAGAACCAAGTAGGTATTCATACCGATATTCTGCTCCCCACCCTTTCACAAAACTCATTCTTATGGTGCACATTCTAGTTAGCTGATACACGGCTTCAAAACCCTGATTAACAGACTGAGCCAGAAGAGCGGCAAATTCCTGGTTGTTGAAGATCTTCAAGTTACAACCTAGGATTGAGAAAAAGTAAAAGAAACTGTGTGAAATAGTATCATTATAAGAAAAAATAATTTTAAAAGAGCTACAGGCTTTAGAATATGAGCATGCAAATCATGTCCTTATTCCTAAATTTTATTAGCAACCAGAAAAACTAAGCAGGTTGATGTGATACATTTACATTGTTGAGTCCATACCTGGTGGAATTTTACACACTGTTGCAGGGTGCCAGCCGTATCTCTGATTACAATTGGGGCTCTGCACAAAGATTGCACTATCACTTAGGCACTCAGCAAAAACTTCCCCACCTATGTAATATAAGCGCACTCCTCTTCCTAAAACAAAATACATATGGGGTTAGTTTTATAACACTTACTATTTCAGTGTGACTTTGGGAGAGTCTTCTTGGAAGAATTCTAAAATGATATAAAGTATTTCAATGACTTTTTTCATAGCTATGCCTTTCTGAAGTCTAACTTTGAAATAACAGTGTATACTTTTCAGTTCTTTAAACAATGATTTTATTTTTAAAATATATGCTTGTCAAAATATTTCAACAATTTAAAAGAAAGTACATAGTAAAATAATTTTACACAAGTTACATACTATTTTAAAATTAGTAAGAAAAACTGAGGTAATTTTTAAAGAATTAACTAATGTTTGGACAAATACTTTCATTAAAAAATCCCACTAAGATTAAGAAAAGGATAAAAACAAGAGGTTAAAAAACCATATATTATGGTCACAATCAATCTCTCCATATAAGCAGAATTAGCAAGAATAAATTATACTGGGATATTTTAATACTTCTTCAGGAATATAACTGAAGACACCAAAAAATTAGCTTTGGGGACATAAAATACCTGTGCAGGCAGCATTCTAAGCCAGCACCTAAGAGCTATTGGGTGTTGCTGTGAAGGGATTTTGCAGAAGTAATTAAGGTAGCAAATCAGCCTACCTTAACGAAAGGAGATTTGCTTACTATGCAGCAAAAGAAAACTACTAAAGACAGCCAACAGCCAGATTTAATAGATAAATATTGCCTTGTTCTTAAGACTATGTAATATTGTTCAATCAATCATGTACTCTTCTATCAGGAAAACACTAAGCCCAACAAGCACATTTTTCTGGTCATGTTCAGAGTGTACAGATGATCTAAAACTGCTACAACCTAAACTACTGTTGGGAGAAGCGAATATAGAAGAACCATCTGTTGAATTTTTATGCAAAACCCCAATTAAAACACAGAGCAGCCCAACTATGTACAGTCAGAGGCCTTCACCTATAATAATACACCAAGACTTGAGAACTTCCAAACAAATCCAAGTGAGACATCCTAGTCACTGTATTTTACAGTATTAAAAATCTTTTTTTGTTGTTTTGTTTTGAGACAGGGTCTCGCTGTATAGCCAGGCTGGCCTCAAACTCACAGTGATCCTCTTGCCTCAGCCTCCTCAGTGCTGAGATTACAGGGATGCACCACCACGCCAGGCTCAAAAATCACTCTTTGGCAATCAGCACTATTTTCACAGACGGTGATAGTTAATTCAAAGAAAATGGAAGCAAATCACTGTTAAAAGATGTTACTTGATAAGAGTGATACTTAATTATTACTGCCTCTCAAATCTTTTTCACTTCACTATTAAAATAGAAAACTGAGGACCCCTAAAAAGTTTTTTTTTGGGGGGGGGGGGGTTCTGGTACCAGGAATCAAACTCACGACCTTGCGCTTGCCAGGCAGGTACTGTGCCACTGAGCTAAATCCCCAGCCCCTGTAAAAGGTTTTGAATATGTGGATACCATTTATGGAAATTTACCATATTTGATACTTAAAACTGAGTTTTGCTCTTTCCTGTGTGTGTGTGTGGGGGGGGGCGAGGTATTGGGGACTAAACCCAGGAAGCACTGAACTACAATCTTCCTGCCTTCACATTAGTTGGAGTTAAAGGTGTGTGCTGCAGAACTCAGCTAAAATTAAGATTTTAAGATATGTGTTAATTCATTTAAAACTAAAACAATAAACTTTTTAATGTAAACAGTATATCTGTAAAACTGTTTCCAAAGTAAAGGAGAAAATAGCACTGTATCACAGTTTTGCAAAGTTCTTTATTGTCTGGCACAAAACAAGAAAACTGGATTCTCTTACCAGATTTACATTTCCTCTTTTGCAAAATCATGTGCTGCGTAGCTTCTAGATACTCGACCGTATACTTCTGAGAGTGGCACCCTAGTACCATTATGAAAACAGTTCTGATCCCACAAACTTGCTAAAGTTTTTGGCACTACCAAAGATCTCCAGACCGTATTTTGAGGTCTACTGAATTATATTTTGAACTACAGTAAGTGGCAGTTCTTGTTTTATATACCTAGTCTCAGATTAAAAGTGAGCAAATTTGACATAGTATATGAGCTCCTGGGAAAAAATGAGGAGATACAATTTTTTAAAAAGTTTATGATTTGTAAAAATCATAATGCCAAAATTTGAAACACAGCCATTTTATGAGATGTAGAGACTCAGCATGTTAATGTTATTTTAACACATATTTATTGAAGGATTAAGTATCAAGTGTGCCAAACAGAGATTAAGTTGAAGAAAAGAATCTGGAGATTAAAGTATCACCAGGATCTATTAAAAGCAGACCTATTAAAAGCAGTCAAGCCCATGCACTTATAACTGATGGCACTTAAACTGATACAGAGACAGCTAGGTTTTTACATCCAAGCTTTTCATGTAATATACCACATAATGCCCACATTATGTATACAGAGCATTGACTTTTCACGCAAGGAAAGTAAAACATACCTATATGTCTTCTTGTCATTTCTACTGTGGCATTTCGGTTAACATTGGAGAGTAAACCTAAGCAGAACCTCTCTGAATTTGATGGATCTGTAAATCCATCTACAGTCAGTGAGGGCTGTGATGCATGGAAGGTCTCTCCAACCCTCTGATTTAATTCATAATATGCTATTGAACACCAAAATGCAGGTTCTGAATAAGTAACTGGCTGCAAATCTGAAAAAATAAATAAGCGAAAAGAAATGTCATGTGAACAATTCAAGCTGAAAATAGACTGAACATCACCATTTTCACATGTTCTATGCCAGCAGACACTGGCAACAGTTTAGGAAGCAAACCTTACACCTGTAATGGTTTCCACAGATCATACTAGATTTTCAATTTTTCAAATGTCCCCCATCCCATGAGGTCACTTTATGTTGGACTGGTTTATCAATAGTTTTAGTTCAGTTTCCATTTAAATACAAAACAACCATAGGCCAGGGTAAATCCACTTGCCGTATTTAGTGTATTTCTAAAATACTGTACATAATGAAGTCAACTTCTGGCAGGATTAATATAGAATAAAGTCAGAGTGAAGATTAATGAGTCAAGTACCAATATAACAATTTTTTTTTTTTGCATTTTGCCTATTTTGACATGAGATTCTAGGTGAGTTACTACAGTTACAAAACATAGGAAATTCATGAATACCTAAGAACCATAAAGTAATACACAGAATATTCAAGTGGAAACAGACTATTTACAGGAAAAATTATATGTATATAAAAAACATAAAGATTATATGTATTTTATTTGTTGACTAAAACACAAGGAATAATGTGAAATGAAAAAATCTCTGATAATTTTGTAGAATAAATTGTAAACATGTAGAAGCTGAAGAGAAATTATGAGTCAGCAAAGTAAAATAAGGGTCAAAAATAAAGTACATGAATACCTACATATATACATATACATAACATACTCATTCAATCTCATACAAACATACAAATTATCTCAGATTCGAAATAAATATATTTATGTGATGTAATGTTTGCATATATATACACACACACACATTCATTATATTGTTACTACACAAAATATAAACATACCTACAGAATTCCACCTATAATACATTATAAAATTTTTGATGAAAAATGTGTTTCAATGAATAAAGATTTGTTTCATACATTCATTTGTGCCATGACAGAAGACTTAGTAATACTGAGACATGATATCAATTTTTTAAAAGCACTGATTTAAATTATTTGCATAATTACTTGTTTATTTCATTGATATCCCTTTCTCAGATGAAAACTAATTTTCAGAGAAGGTTTTTCTTAAATAGGTGATACAGTAAAAACAGTAGGGAATATCTGCAACTTACCCAAGCTATGATTAACAGGGGAGAGAGTAGTAGGAGACAGTTCTGCTGGAGATCCTAAAAGAAAATGAGAAAAATTTAAAATAGATACTGGTATATTTCCAGAACTTCTAGTCAAATAGCAATAAAATTGGTTGTCTGTGGCTGTAATATCACTAATAAAACACAGATAACTTAAAGTACAAGAATCCCAAATATGTAACTACTGTATTCAAGTTTAATTTAGGATACTTCAATATACAAAAGGCATAAATAAATAGTCTTGGCTTCTCACCACCCAGTTCCTCTTCCAAAAGATCTATTATTGACAGTCCCTTCTGTACAAGATACATAGTTCAAAATACTTCATGAACCATACACATGAATGCATTTGTTCTTCTGTATACAAACGGTATATGAAAAGGGAGTTCTGACCGTCTGTATTACTGATTCAAAAATTGTTCATTGAACAATTGTTCAATTGTTTATGTTCATGTTTCATCACTGTCTATGTACCTATTGGTGAGTGGCTTTTGATCTCTTGTTTTAAGAATTAAGACTATAAAGACTAATATGACACATTTTACCTACTTCCAAAAATACTTGAATGATACTTTTAACAGAGAAACTGCCAGGACAGAGTTTCTATAAAATTATAATAGATTTCGCTAAAATTATCATTTAGAGGTTGCACTGGTTTACATTCCCAGTAACAAAATAAATGGGGATGAGATGAATACTCAACATGTATAGTTTTAATTTACATTTCCCTTATAAACTACATTGAGGAGTTTTATGTTCTTTACATTCTTTTTTCTGAACAGTCTGTTTCTTTTTTTGTTCATTTTCCTGTTGTACTAATCAGTTTTCCACCTGATTTGTAGAAGGCTCTTTATGTATTAGAGATATTAGTTCCTTCCTGGTACAGTCTGCAAGTATTTGGTCACCTATTTTATGACTCATTTCTAATTATGACTATGCAGCTTATACTGGAGTTCATGTCACAGTTTAGTAAAGAAGTGGTGACAGTGAATACTGTCATCTTACTCATGACTGTAAGATAATACTTGTGGCATTTTCCTACCAAGCATGATAGTGACTTTGAAGCTAAGAGAAAGAAAGTTACTTATTTCAGATTTTTGATGGCGAGATTTGCATGTGTGCTATGTTTCTAAGGGTCTGTAATCTAGGTAATGAAACTTAAAAGCTTTATGTCTTTCAATGCTTTTTAACAGTTAAATTGCATCGTTAACAGCATATTCTTTTAAAGTTCTGTAGAATTCTCTCGTGACACTGCAGTTGACATTTTTGGGTTACCAAAACATTTTTCCATTTCTTCCATGAAAGTTGACTCATTAAGACAGCTCTATTTCTTGGAATCAGTTTTATTTACTAAGTTATATTTTTTCAGAAAATTATCCAATTCTGTTTTAAGTAAACAAGCTAAATCTAATCAAGAAAATGAGAGAGCATACTTACACAGAATAAAAAAAAATGAACAAATAACAGAAAAAAATTATTGGAACTACTTCACTCAATTCCATGCCAATAACATTTTAGAACACATTTGTAAATGTTAAATAATCATATTATAATTATAAATACAGGATCGATTTTGCTGATGATCATTCTCTACACATTCAGGGAAACTTCATCTAAAAGAGCATGACCAACATACAGCTCCCAAACTTCAAACACACAGTATGGCACAGTTATGGAATAAGTGAGGTCAGAAGACTTTATGGAGTCCTTCCTATCACATACTACCACAGCCATGACATAAAAAGGCAGGTAACAAGGGTGAAATGGCAACCACTGGATAAACAGATGAAAAAAGAGAATGTATAATTATTTTTAGAACACAGAACAGTTTTCCCTAACACAATTAACTTATCTTCTTTGTTCCTCAGTTTGAAAAATCTGTTGGCAAGTCACAACAGGTACAACTAAGAAAGGTCAAAATATATTTAGAACAATGAACTAAAACTTACTGCTGTTTCCTGAAGCAGAAGTAAGATAAACAAAGCCACTATTAGAAATGGAAGAAACTACCATATTATTTGTACCTTTTAACTGTTTCTCTATTACATATTCATCAGAAGAGACCAGTAAGGCCATAATTTATTAACTTAAAACCAATTAAGAGCCCAGTGAGATGTGACAGAGAGTCAGATTTACAGATTACAAAAAGGGTCATTACAAAATTTTAAGAATCTAAATTACATGAACAGAATTTTTTTTGAAAAATCAAGAGATAAGTAATTGATAGTTAAACTGAGTACTATACACATAAAAATGCTGCTGCTGAAGTTGAAGCCTTACAAAAGGCATTCTAGTTGGGAGGGTAATAAATATTCTATTCCAGCTAGTTTGAATCAACACTGTCTATCACATACAGCTAGAACACCCAGAGAAATCATTATGCACATATCTTTGCACATTAGATTCACATACATTTGTGTTATACATTTTCCAAAGAGAAATGTTCATTATTTTTATAAACAAATGGATAAATAAACACCAAAAATGTTTAGTCTCACCAAAAATTTCTGAGTTAGTGTTTCTTTGCACTATTATCTAATCTGCCACCGCAAAGGACTTAAAGAGAGAAGGTATTATTTACCTTTCTTTGGGTCATGGATAGTACAATCACACTCTTTTTGTCCACTGTTCTATTAACTACTGTCTTTTTGCCTCTTGATTTATTTTTAAATTGTGAAGTCAGCTGTTAGAATTGGCATGTATTTATAAACATTACCCTCACATTTCAGATCTGTTATGGTGTATCTTTCCAGATGACATTATGTTTCTTTTAATTTTCAAAAGTAATTTTAAGTTCACAGCAAAACAAAATGAGAAGTACCCAGATTAACATATATCTCACACCCACACACTCTCACTACCAAGATTCTCATAGTAGAAAGGCACATTTCTTACCATCAAGGAACCTAGGAGGACAGTGCATCCTATCATCAAAATCTACAGATACTGGTATTAAAGCTCACTCTTGGTCTTACACTTTAAGTGGGCTTTGATAAACATATAATGATATGGGTTCACCATCTCTGTTATATTAGAATAGCTTCACTGCCTAAAAACATGCTCTATACTTCACCTAGTCAATATTCCCTTTTCTGTAACCCTTATAGTTTTTACTTCCATAGTTTCACCTTCTCCAGAAAGCCACACAGTACAGTACGCAGTCTTTGCAGATTAGCTTATTTTACTTAACAATACACATTCTTCCATGTCTTTTCATTGCTTTATAGCTCATTTGTCCTTAGCACTAAAAACTACTGCACTGTTGGAATGTACTTCAGTTTATCCATTTACCTATTAAAAACATCTTGTTGGCTTCCAAATTTTTGACAATTATGAATAAAACTTTTCTAAACATCCATGTGCAGGTTTCTGCATGAATATAAGTTTTTGATTCATCTGGGTTAGTATCAAGGAGCAAGATCATAAGGCTGTGTGTGTTAAATAGAATGATTAGTTTTTTAAGAAACTGCCAAACTATTTTCCAGGTTAGGATACCTAAGGACATAGAATTGAGCATGCTAAAAGAAAAACCAACCAAAACTTTAATGGTCATGCATAGCCAACTGGAACTGAGAAACCCCAAGCTGGTCATTAGCCAATTCTTATATGAGTGTGTGGTAGCACAGAAAATCTTGGGCAAAGCTAGAAAACAGTGAGATATTCTATAGTTCTGTTATATTTATATATTAACCCTACTGAGGAAGGGGAATGATCTACTATGAAACTTGAGACAGGGCTGGGGATACAGCTCAGTGGCATAAGCGTCTGCCTGGCAAGTCCAAGATCCTGAGTTTGATTCCCGGTACCCAAAACAAAACAAAACAAAACAAAACAAAAAATGAGATAAAAGAAATGAGATAATCTGACATGAAAGCACCAAGTCATCACTCATCCAACTCAAGTCCTAATTACAGGGGAGAGATTTGCTCCTTAACTTATCAACCAGGAAAAAAAAATGGGTGGGTCTTTCCAAGGGAAAGTATTATCTGTATTACCCTACATTACTTTTTTATGTGCAGTACTAAGCAGCAAATTAAAAAACATGAAACAAAGTAGGAAAATCATAATTGTAATCAAAAGATAGAACAGATAAGACACATCTACAGATGATCAGATAAGGACTTCAAAAAGAAAATTATAAAACTGAAAGTTAGAATATCTGAAATGAAGATTTAATTGGCTTAACAGCAGACCAAAGTCAGATCTATGTATACATTATTATTTTATTTTCAACAAAGGAGCCAAGGCAAATCAATGGAGCAAGAAAAGTTTCTTTAACAAATTGCAATGAAGAAATGTCTGCAGAAAACAATAAATGGTAAATGTGAAGCACTGTATTTTTATCCTTTTCAAATGTTTTTTAAGAGTCTGAAGCTAAAGCTAAAGTAACATTGCACTTTGGGGTTTAAATATATTTATTAAGTAAAATATACAACAAAAATACAAACCACAGTGGTACATGAATGTAATTCTAGCATTGCAGTTACATTTGATAGCAAGTTCTGAAGTATTACAACTTAAGCAACCTTCTAGGTAAAAAGTACTACAGCAGATCTACTGAGAATTTTATACTAAAGAGTTATTCATAAAAAGCCAAAGTAGAATTAACAGAATAAATAAAACATACCTGCCTCATCTAAAAGGCAGGAAAATAAAGTGGAACAAAAACCACATGGAATAAACAGCAAATTGGGAGCCTAATTGCTATGAAAAGTTGTTTTTTTAAATATACATGAACTAAATTTTCCCAGTTAAAAGACAAAGACTGATTGGCTGAGTAAGATACAAAATGCTGTTATCCACAATAAACACATCTTATGAATAAAAATGCAAGTAAGCTGAAAATAAAAGAACAAAAATATATCACACAACCACTGAGATAAACAAGAAGAGACAGTGATGGTAATAGAAGATATATATTATTTGGATGAATTCATCAGGAAGACATGATAATTCTAAATGTGCACCATCTAATTAAAGAGACTAAAAATATTAAAGCAAAGGCTGAAAGAGGAAATAAAACCCAGAGTTGAAGT